GAGGCCGATATTCAGTCATCTGGACTGAACAAGCTTGGCTAGTAAAGGATTTATGTGGGATAAAGAACAAATTTTTCCTGCATGACACAGTGTTTAATCCTGAGCAGGCAAGATAGCGCCATCTTGCCTGCTTGGGTAGCCAATCACATTGGAGGATTTTTTCATCTTGCCTGCTCAGTAAGCTAGCCATATAACAAATTATCTTTTCAAACTTTTCAATCATGCAATGAACCAAGGAACAGAAAAATCTGTTTCATTGCAGGATGTTGCAAAATTACTGCACTGTATAATAAACTGTTTAAGCTTAGCACCCCATTGGTGCCTTTCTCAGAAACCTTGGTTGCTAAGAATGGAGAAGTTGTAAAAGAAAAATTGATACCACACAACTGTACCTCTTCTTACATCAAACCCCACCCATTGGTAAAAACAATGGTCCTTTGGGCGAGGTTGCTATGATTAACCCTTGGATGTACAAGGGTGCCAAACCCCTCCCCTCCCCNCCGCTAAGGTTTTTTTAAAGTTTTGAAGAGATGATTTACTCTAAGGGGCTTAAACTTTCAGAAGCTGTTCCTTCATTCTCTGTAGAAATTTTGAAATCTCATTTGCATGTCCATCATCTTTGACGCTGCCATGGCAACCATCAAATTTCATATAGATATGGCCAAAAATCAACTTTTTTGATATAATTCTGCAGTTTTTTTCCAGTTTTCTTCATCCAATTGCGGAAATTCATGAATTTGTACATTTTATAAGCATTGTGGCTTGATTTTGTGTTAATTTCTGTTATTTCTTGACTATTCAAGAAAATAGGAAAATCTAAGATGGCAGGTCAAATGACGTCATTTGACATCATATGACACCATAACCAACAAAAATAGTACCATCCTGTAGGGCAAGCTCAGGGTTATCTAATCAATGTAAATTTATTTTGTTCTGCCTTAACAGAACGAAAACCAAGAAGGGGGGGTTCCAACCCCCAACCCNCCCCCTTGTACCACGGTGGGGGTATGAGTTACGTCCGAGGGTTAATCAGCATAAAAAATCCAATTTTGGTCACTGTTGTGTTTGTTTTAGTCAAGATGAATTTTAAGTCATACTGATTTCAAACTAGTTTGATTTGTATTTGTCTTTGTCTCTGAATTATGATAATAACTTTGGAACAAGGGAGAGCCAGTTAGCAAACATTTTGATTTAACATTCATGTTAAAGTAAACTGCATCATATACTGTTTTTATCTACCAAATTGCTCACATACATCTAAACTGTACACATACAGTTAAAATTATAATATTTATGTGAAAGCTAAACAAAGTCTTTGATTGTTTTGTTTATGAACTGCATTTATCAATACCCTTAATTAATTTTTGATAATTTGTTGCATTCTTATACCCCAGCAAGAAAATATAGGACGGGTGAAATACCTACCAGGTCTTCGAAACCTTGGAAACACATGTTTTATGAATGCAGTGTTACAATCTTTGAGGTGAGTGTTTTGTGCTATTTTTCGTAATAATGTTCCTCTGCATTTCTGATTAAATCAGTAATGACAATTTTAGTGATGCTATTGAACAGACAAATTTGGTCATACTGCTTTCGAAGTCACAACCCTTACTTTTTCTGAGTCAAGCCTTGTGTTAATATAAAATAATATAGTTCCAGTCTTTGATAAAACCCTAGTTGTGCCAGTGAAATAAAATTGACACAGTTGTACTTTCACGCAGTACTGATAAATGTGCCGTTAAAGGTTATTCTTACTTTTAAGTCTGTGTGAGATTCTTTGCATGAATGCTATTGTGTATTAATTTCATGTGGTGCTATTTGGTTTTACATAACAAGATAGCCAAAATTCATGCCTTTCCTCCTCTCTCAGTTTAACTCTTAGATATTTTTCATTTGGTTGATTAATAATAAGCAAACATCACTTTCCTAACTAGTGAAGAGAAATTTAAAAATAGCAAGTGCTGGTGTTATAAGGCGTGTGAATGTTTAAAGAAAAGACTTAAACATAGCCGTGGGTAATTAGGTTTCACTTTTGATGCACCCAGCAGGAAGACAGGAAACTGAGATATTAATTTTCAGCTTTTTCACTAATGGTTTTTTGAACCCCAAAGGAATTAAAAGTACTAAATAATGAATTGTGTCAGTCATGATATTTTATTGTAGTGGTCGTAGTATGTATGTTTATGATAATTTTGTTTTTGTTAAATCAACAGTAATATTCAGTCATTCAGCTGTTACTTTAAGGATCTTCCAGCCTTTGAGCTGAGAACAGATAACTCATGTGGAAAACAGCCTTACTTCACTAGAAGCAGAAAAACAGATGAAGGGTATGGAAACTGTGCTTTGCCTGGGAGACATTGTTCAAATATTTTAAACAAGACAGCTGTGTAATTTGAGTCCCTATTCTACTTTAGTAAACCACCATATGACATGGGTATAAAATAGAATACAGCAAAAGGAAGTAACTTTGCATTTCAAAAACAGTGAGGCATATTATTTAGAAGGGACGTAGCCTTCTGATAATTTTTAAATACATGTAAAATACTGCTTGGGTAGTAAGACTGAATAAACACGACACTATGAAGCTCAAAAGAAGCTCTGCAATCATCAAATTAAAGATCAAAATGTATTGCAATGGTATCAAAAACAACCCCTACCAGCATGCAAAGAAAGTTGTTTTCCAATAGCCTGAGGCTTGTGGCTTTTTGCTGTTGGGCTAGTAACCTCTTCAATGGGAAAGTACCATAACAGGGGAAAGTTTGGGGGCAAATGAGAATGACTTTCAGCCAAGTACATCATAATAAATTATAGCTTTCAAGACTGAAGGACAAGCTGGAAAATTGATTTTCTTTGCACCCTGCTTACAGTAAAGAGTTTAATAGTATTGTTCTTGAGGAGCTAAAATGAAATAAAAACCCATGGCTTTTATAAGGAGTGTTATTAATTGAAGTATTCCTGTGAATCACTGTAGATCTGTAGTGGAAGAGTTGCGTAAAGTACTTTGTGCTTTGTGGCATGGTGGAGGTGTCACACACTCTCCTGATGCACTATTCTCTGTTGTGTGGAAGGTTGTGCCAAGATTCAGGTAAGTTACATGTCAAGCTACATTGTAGCATTCATTCATGATTGTAACAATGAGGATGGTTTTGTCATACTTTAATCAGAAGATTAGCTGCACACACACACATATTGTGAATTTGTGATGTCGTAAAACACTCAGATTTCAAGTGGAGCTATGGGCAATTTGTTTCTTACAATAACATTGAAAACTTTTCTGCTGAATTGGAAGGAACTTTCAGTGTAAATATTGCAGACATAACACAGGGAATGAAAACTTTTTATATCATAAATTAAAACCTTGTGAATGTTATAAATTAATATTGTCATTGCGATACAAAAGTTCTCCAAAAGTTGCATTGCATTGCATTTTAAGGTTATGTACATCATCTTTGTGATCCTCCACTGATAAGGAGACAAAAATTGTGTAGATTTTTGTTTTATATAGTTATTATTATAGTTAAATTACTCAACTTCAGAGCCAGTTACTGTTCTAAATAGCATCATAGCCAACCAGATGTCAGAGTGAATTTTAACCAGACCTGAACTGTTAACATTTTACTATTGCAGAGGCTATCAACAACAAGATGCACATGAATTTATGCACTACCTGTTGGACAGAGTGCACACGGAACTTCTTCTGTCGCCTAAGTGCTTTGGTACAACAGAGACCATCATTACGGGGATATTTGGTGGCCTTTTACATAGCGAGGTATGTGGGTTGGTCCAGAAGATGTAGGAGAGTACAACAATGGTGAATAAATGTACTTATATGGACATTGAAAGGAAACTGTAGACAACATAGCTTACAATAAGTTTTCGTCATGAATTTTGTTCCAGGTCAAATGTTTAGTATGCGGAACAGAGTCAAAGAAGTATGATCCATTTCTAGGTAAGTGGCACTTATGTTAGACAAATGCAACCCAGGGATGAAGTTTAGCTGACTGAATTTGAACAGACCATGGTGTTCTGTCATACAATATTTTGCTTTTCTGATCGAAAACAACCCATGATGATTTTTTGTACAATTATGGAAGTCATTCTAGTACAAAAACAGACACTCACTCTACGTTTTTGTTATTTCCAGATTTATCCTTGGAGATTCCAGCAGAATTTCAAATTAGAAAATCAAAGTCTAGAGACCCACAAGTTTGTCGACTTGAAGGTAAAAAACAAAATTACTTGTAATAACTTTGATGAGAAATTTGCATTAATTAAGTATATAGCTCCCTCCATTGATTTGAAACAATCAGTGATTGCCGACTTAAAAATATTAGGGAAAATTTCAAAGCAGGGAAA